CCGAACCTTCCTTCTTTCTCTTCCTTTCACTAGCATACTTCTTCAGTAAAGCATCCTTTTGACGAAGTTTCTCATCATGATCAATGAACCAGTCGTCTTGAATAAAGAGAAAATCCTCCTTTTCCTTTAGTTGTCGAGCCAGGACCCGATTCTCATATTCAGACATATTATACTTTCCTTTCCAAGCATCTCTCTCGGACTTCATCCTAGCCAGATTTCCTTGGTATTCTCCCATATTCTCGATAGGAATATCAACAGATGATGATGCAACGGTAGGGAATAAAGGTTTCTCAGGTTTATATGGCATCTTGAGAGCACAAGCCCTAGCGCGGACCCATTGTAGGTAAGGCTCCAACGAAACGGCACCCCTATGTCCTAACATGTCTCTCCCTTTCCTATGGATGTGGCGCCAAGCTCCTTCGATCTCCCTCTTAGCTGCCTGATGATCTTGTCCTTCCTGTAGAAAGAAACCACTCACATGGATGTTGTTTGGCTTGTCTCTCATCGGGTATCCAAACTGACGGCGCGCGAGAACAGGGTTATAGTTAATTCCACCTTTCGTACCAAGAAGAGGCACGTTAGGAAAAGCACCACAGCTATCGATGATCTTCACGTCATAGTAAATCTGATTATACCAATCAATGTCGAAATGAGTGAGAGCCATAATTTTTAGCGCCCATCGCGGCTCCTTCTCGAGATCCCAGAAAACATCAGACCTAGGTAGATGAGAAACATACCACTGATACAGCAACGATGCACAACAAATAATCATCCCTCCTTGATAAGAGTTTCGAAGATGGATGGAGTAGTAGGTATCTCCTAGCAGCGTAGGGACCGGATTTCCAATCAAGAAAATTCTGATGGCGTTGATGTCCACAAACTTATCAATGTTGGGGAACAAGAATAGACCATAAGCGAGTAAAGCAAAGACGTCTTTAAAGGCAATAGTATCTTTTATCTCAGCAAAATGACGAGCTTTCCTCAACAAAAACTGCGCAGACAAACCTCAGATTCCCCCTTTTGTAGTCATGTTCTCCTCTATCTTTGATTTCTTCAAGTGGGTGATGGTCGCTATCTCGTGAGATTTGGGTTCCTCTTCTAAGCCAGAAAAGGGAACACAGTCGGTGATCGGCAAACCAAGTATGTAGGAATACTCTTCTAAGGTGGGCATCAACTGGTAATCCGGAAAGGTGAAACATCGGTACAAAGGATTGTAGAATTGGACCAACGTACTAAGGATGCCTTCCTTCATCTTGCGCTTCATGAGAGGTATAATGGACCCATACTTTTTCTGAAAATCCGTCGGGTTCTCGATCTTAGGAATCAAACTCTTCAGTTCTTCGATCTCGGGCTCCTTAAAACTAAAACTTCGAGTGTTTCTCCTTCCAAATTCCATAATACCTGATATGTCTGCAAAAATCATTCCTAAGTTCCTTGAAAAACAAGTTTTTTTACAAAAATGTTGATGAATGCATGAATGAATGATAATGCAACAGTTACACACAAGTTCACAAACATGGGGTTCAAAGGTTCAACGTTTCAGCATGGAGTCGAGGGTAAAGCCCACCCAAAGGTATGTACTAACGGTTTAATCACACCTGTAAGACAAGGTTCTAAGAGTTCCCAGAGTCTACATTCCTCCTTCGGATATTACCAACGTCTTGATTACTCAATAATTAGCAATATTCTCAAGAGAAACTCGTCCGAGCGTAGCATCGCGTAACAACTACTTCCGAATTACTCCGTTATAGTCTCCGCGCTACACCTAAAAGGCCAAGATGGGTTAGGGTTCTACGGTTCTCAATTTCTCTGGCTCCTAGGTCGAAAATAATAATGTCTTCCCGATTACTCGGTAAACAAATATTAAGTTCAAGAGTGCCTTCCATCGAGTGGGGGATCTCATGCCTCCTTCTTCGGGATTACTCCCTCAAAGTTAACATGACTGTACCGCCCGTCCTATTCTTAAGTGTAACTTAATCCGGGTATAGGATTCGTCCTTTGCAAAAAAAACCCAAACAACCCCAATTTAAACACATAATCAAACAAATCAAATAATAATAAAACAGATAAAACAAACTAGGCTTAACCCACTTAGGGATGGACCAGCAAGAGGTCAATCTTTCCCCAGCAGAGTCGCCAATTCTGTAGCGATAAAAAATGTAGCGGGGTAAATCGGAGATCGAATTATTGATTAATTCGTCTCGCAAAAGCAAGAGTCGCCACCGCGCTTTATTATTTCCAAGGGAAAAGGGGAAAGAGCGAAATAAAACCCTAAATATGCCATGTAAAATAATACTTTTTAAAAGTAATAAAAATACAAGGCGTTTTTGAAAAGAGATCTATGGCTCGGGGGTTGGTTATACAGTGGGAAGGTATTAGCACCCAATGTATCTATAGTACTCTATAGGAACCTTTTAAAATATCTGTTTATTAAAATGTTCGTTTGATTTAAAAATAAATTGTTTTGGCTGAAAAGGGGTACGGACGGGTTTTTGAAGGTACGACGACCTAATGTCGAAGTTTTGGCTTAAAAGGTATAAATTTGAAAAGATTGAATATTTGAGAAAAAATTGTCTTAAGTTTTAATGAAATGAAAATATTCGCGTGATTGGACTTGAGGACATGAAGTCAACCAGTTTAATCATTTTTTCCCTTGGATTTAGACGTAAACAGAATAAACAAGTAAAGATGAAATAATTAAACAGAAAATTAGATAGATAAATGATATACAACCATAACAATGATTAAATGACAGATTAAATGATGTGAACATGCATTTTTTGTATTTTTGTTTTAATATTAATAACGCAAGAGAATTAATTAAATAAAATGTTTTTAAGTTTTTATTATATGTATTTTTTAATAGGAATAAAGCAAGAGAATTAATTAAAGAAAATAAAAATGTTTTTAATGCTTTTATTTTTATATGTTTCTATTTTTATAGGTTTTTTTAATATTAATATAAAATGTTATTTTTAAGAATTATTAAACAATTAAACTAAATTAAAACCTAAAAGCTACTAACTTAAGTCTAATTAAAAAGGGATACTAAAATTACTAAATAAACCTAAAGTTAAACTTAATAAACAATGGTCAAATTATTAAAATTGTTTTAATTAAATTACAACTATTTGATTAACTAACTAAATTAATAATGATTCTAAAAAAACTAAAAGAGAGAAAACAATAGGCTGAGGTGTGTCAAAAATAAAGGGGGGTAGATAGGAAAATAGCATGGGCCAAAGGTTTTGAGAAGGCTTAATCAGAAAACAACAGAAATAGGGGGGTGTACAAAGGGATTCGTTTGGGCTTAGGTGGGAAGCAGGGTCAAGGTCCAACATTATTCATAATTTGTTTTTAGGGTTAAACATTGTTTCACTACGCCAAAAATGATTTTTTTGTATCACCTAATTTAATAGCACTTTTAAAAAAAATGCTATTAAAATGGAAAAAAACACATTTATAATAGCACTTTTTAATCGGGCGCTATTATATAATACAGACTATGTAATTATGATAGCACTTTGTACCAGAACGCTATTATTAAACTTCTTTAAGATAGCATTTTGTATAAAACGCTATTATTTGACTACCTATATAATAGCATTTATTAAAAAGCGCTATGTTATATATAATAATGAATTAATTAATTAATTGATAAAAAAAAAACACATTTTCAGAAAATTGGGTTTCCCGCATCCACTCACCGCCAAAAACAAAAACACTATCTTCCTCTGCTTCCTTCTTAGCCATTGATTCTCCCAACTGATTCACCGCCGTCAAATCTTCCTCTGCTTCCTTCGGTTTTCATTGATTCACCGCCATTAGTCATTGATTTACCACCGTCATCCCTTCCTTCGGTTTTCACCCGGATCCATTCTCCAGCCATCGGATTCACCATCGATTCAGATTCAGATTCACTTCTCAAACGACACTCAAACAGAAGGAGGAAACACCGAAAAGAAAGAACAACCAAATCTCATTCTCCGTCGAACTCAACCCTTTGTCATCTCACCTACGTCGTCGTCATCCCTCTCTTCATTTGTATCCGGTAATATTTCTTTTTTCAGTTTCTGCTATCCGTTGATTCTCTGTGTTGTTTGTGAGCGTTATGATGTCTTTTTGTTGACGGATATTCGTGATTTTGAGTAGCTGTAATGAGGGTTTGTGAGGTTAAGTTGCAGTTGTGAGGGTTCGTGAAATTTGAGTGATAAGGCTTGTGTTATTGATGTGTGCCTGAATGGTGAGAGATGAGCTGGTTATTGATGTGAGCAGTTGTGAGTAGTGGCATGAAGTGTAAGGTATTTGGCCATTGAATTAGTTTTAACTAAGGTCTATGTGTTGAAGTTGTGTGCAATTTTCAATTTCTAGTCCTAGTTAACCGTAAATATCAATGTTGAGAGAGATTACACGGTGGAAAGAGTTGTATTTGAGACCAGCCCATGAGTATGGTTTTGAATGAAAAGGAACTCATGTTGAGTTTATGAGAGGCGGAAGTGATATCTAGTGGGAATTGAATGATATAAGTGTTATGCCATCTGAGTTGAGTGCAGAAGAAAGAATGTAGACATGGAAGAAGGAAGAGAAGAGAGGAATGAAGTTTTATGGAGAGCAAAAAAGTCAGTACATTGGTTGAAGATGAGTTGAAAAGTTTGTTCTAGTTTGAGTGATAAGGCTTCTGTTGTTTTGGTGTGATTTAGTCACAATTAATCGATTCTTCTTTTCAATCCAAGCAAAAATTGGCATTTCGTTAATGTTGGATGTTTTTTTGATTTCAGGAAAAACTTGATCAGTGGCTCTGTAGACAGCAAGAGGGTGGATCAAGACTTGCAAACTTTGATATAATTAACTACATTCAGGTTGGTTTCATCACTGTTCTATGTTTTTCATACAATGTTGAGGTTTTATTATTGTTCTCTGTTTTATCATTGTCTTTTGACATGATTCTCAATCCTAAACAAATGAGTTTAATCAACAACAATGGTCTCATATTAATCTCACTATGGTTTTTGCTCCACTTTAGCTCTAATCTTCTGCTCCAAAACAGAAACCTCAGTTTCAAGACCAAACATTCTATTCAAAGCATGCATATTCTCAAGTGTTTCACTCAAAGTCCTACTATCACTCCCATCACATCTCAAATGTTGCATTGGACCATGAAGCATTTTATTCACTATACCTCTACCAAGATCATCCACTGCTTTTTGTGTCTTCTTATTTATATCCTCATCACTCATTTTACCTAAACATTTCTCAACCTCAGCAATCCTTAACCTTTCAGCATAAGCTCTCAGTTTCTTGATAGTAGGAACAGTTTCTAACGAGTCTCTCCATGCTTCGAATTGGCCCGATTCTTCGCCGATGATCACTTGTGCTTCCATTGCTTTTCTTAGTCTGTCCTCTTTGTTAGCAGCCACTACCTCTTTAAGGTTGTTGACATTGTAAACTTTGACTGATTCGAGGTCATCGACGCACGAACCTACGTTCCTCGGAACAGAAATATCGACGAAGAGGCGCTTTCGTCCCATTTCTTCGCTTGCGAAAGGAAGTTCCTTAACATGTTGTTTTAAAATCAAAGGATTCTCTGATGCCGTACTTGTGAAAACTACATCCGCTTCGCCTACGCATTCGAGCATATCAGAAAGTGGTTTGTAGATTATCTCGACATCGTTTATTTCATCGCGGATCGCAAATACTCTCTCTTCGGTTCGATTAACTACTAGCATCTTTTTACACCCTTTTGCAACCAAATGCTTGATCACAAGCTTCCCCATTTTGCCAGCTCCAATAACTAGCATTCTTGCATTTCCATGTGAGGCTTGATCATGTAACTTCATCACTGCCAACTCGACCGCAGCCGAGCTCACAGAAACTGCTCCGGCCAAAATGTTGGTTTCGGTTCGGACTCTTTTGCCGACGGTGATTGCGTGCTTGAATAATCCACTGATGTTTCTTCCAAATCCATTAACTCCTTGTCCTGCTTTCACAACTTGCTTGACTTGTGCAAGGATCTGACCTTCTCCCATTACAAGAGAATCAAGTCCTGCTGATACTTCAAAAAGGTGTTGGGTTGCATCTTTGTTGTATAGCAGAAATAGATACTGTGAAAGCTCTGATGCAGGTATGCCACTTGTCTGCAAAACAAGATTATCCAATATGTATCAATGCACTAGAATATAAAAACAACTAAGGATGTGTTTGCATAAACAACTTAATTAACCACTTATCTCACACAAGTCCTACTCCCTAGCTATGTATATGGTAAATAGTTTTGTTTAGAAATGTGGTTGAACTAACTCATTCCTACAAAACCAGTTTATTGGGTGATGATTGATCCCACTTACAAAACCATTCTGTTACACGTACTAAGAACAACTGCTTCTTCAATATGATTCAAACCACAAAGCTCACCAATGGCTCTTGGCCATTCAGCTTCTGGTATAGCAAGTTTCTCACGCAACTCCACTGGTGTAGTATGCACACTCAGCCCAATCACCACAAGGCTGCTATTTTCCTTCGTATATCCTGCTCAAACTCAAGTTCATCATAAAGTCAAAATCAAATTCATAATCTCATATGGATCATAAAGTCAAAATCAAATTCATAATCTCATATGCTATATGACTCTTAAATACATAATTTGGTTGTTAGAACCAATTTTTAACTAGTTATATATGTTACTTGTTAGGAAATATGGATCGAAAATGGATGTTTGCCAATCGAGCGTCAAAAGAATATGAAGATGGAGTTCGTGAGTTCGTTAGGTTTGCTATTGCTCATGCTGAAGACACTAGTAAAATCATATGCCCTTGCTTAGAATGTTGTTATACGGATGTTAGTGCAAATGTTTTGGAAGATCACTTAATATGTAATGGAATTGATAAAAGCTACACATGCTGGATAATGCACGGGGAAAAAAAAACCAAGTCCACAAAAAGGGGCAATGGGAGAGATTCATCAAATGATTTTGAAAAAGATACGAATTATGCGTTTGATCGAGTTGAAGAATTTGTCAATGTAATTGAGGAAGATCTTCGTGATTGTCCTCAAATGTTTGAGCGGATAGTAAGTGATGCAGAGACTCCGTTGTATGATGGATGTACTAAATTCACAAGACTGTCAACGGTCTTAAAGTTGTATAACTTAAAAGCACGCCATGGATGGTCCGATAGGAGCTTCACAGACTTGTTGACTCTGTTAAAGGATATTTTGCCTGAGAACAACGTGCTCCCTAGTCGAACGTATGAGTCTAAACAATTGTTATGTTCTATTGGCATGAGTTACGAGAAGATACATGCTTGTCCAAATGATTGCATTTTATTTCGCAAGGAGTATGCATCGTTGAATATGTGTCCTAAATGTAGTGCCCCACGCTATAAGAAGAAAGAAACAGCTCCAGCCAAAACGCTATGGTATTTTCCGATAATACCAAGATTTAGGCGCATGTATCATAATGCAGAAGACGCAAAGAACTTAACATGGCATGCAAATGAAAGGGTTGTTGATGGAATGCTCCGACATCCCGCAGATTCTCCTCAATGGGCAAAAATTGATCATGATTACCCCAATTTTGGGAAGGAAGAAAGAAACCTACGTCTTGCATTGTCTACTGACGGAATAAATCCTCATGGTATTCAAAGTAGTAAACTTACTTCTTGGCCAGTCATTTTGTTGATTTATAACCTACCTCCATGGCTATGTATGAAGCGCAAATACACGATGTTGAGTATGTTAATTTCTGGGCCCAAGCAACCAGGAAATGATATAGATGTATACTTGGCTCCATTAATTGAAGATTTAAAGCATATGTGGGAGACAGGTGTGGAGGTATATGATGAGTATAAAAAAGAATCCTTCAACTTGAGGGCTATGTTATTTGGAACAATCAATGATTTTCCTGCCTATGGGAATCTATCAGGCTACAGTGTCAAAGGAAAATTTGCATGCCCCATATGTGAAGATGGTACACATTCAATACGATTGGAGTATTGTATGAAGAATGTATTTCTTGGACACCGTAGATTTTTAAATACCAACCATCATTTTCGAAAATGGAGAAAAGCTTTTAATGGTGAATCAGAAGAAAATAGAGCTCCTTTGGCTTTGATGGGTGATCAATTATACCAAAAGGTAAAGCTTTTGAGCACTAATTTTGGAAAGCCATTTTCAAGTGAACTTGTAAAGGGAGGATGGAAAAAAAGTCAATTTTCTTTGAATTGCCGTATTGGAAGTCATTGTATGTTAGACATTTCCTTGATGTGATGCATATAGAAAAAAATGTGTTTGAAAGTGTCGTTGGTACATTACTCAATCTTCCAGGAAAGTCTAAGGATGGCATTAATGCAAGGTTAGACCTGCAAAGTATGGGATTAAGAAATGAGTTACAGCCGGTTAAGAGGGATGGGAAGCATACATTTCTACCTCCAGCAGCTCATACTCTGTCAAGAAAAGAGAAAAAGATCTTGTGTAAGGTTCTTCACAATGTTAAAGTTCCAGAGGGCTACTCATCAAACATTAAGAGTTTGGTATCTATGAAAGATCTCAAATTAAAGGGTTTAAAGTCTCACGATTGTCATGTTTTAATGGAGAACTTTCTTCCAGTGGCTATACGTTCCATTTTACCTGAAAATGTGCGATGGACCATAACTAAACTTTGTTTTTTCTTCAAAGCTATTTGTAGCAAAGTTATTGACCCTGAGAAGTTACCGACGTTACAAAAGGAAATTGTTGTCACATTATGTGAGCTTGAGATGTATTTTCCACCCTCATTTTTTGACATAATGGTTCATCTTACAGTCCATCTTATAATGGAAACACAATATTGTGGACCAACTTATATGAGGTGGATGTACCCGATTGAGCGTTACATGAAGATAATAAAAGGGTACGTGAAGAATCGAAGTCGACCAGATGGTTGTATTGTTGAACGATATTTAGTTGAAGAAGCCATTGAGTTTTGTACTGAATACCTCTCTAATATTGAGCCCATAGGGATTCCAATGTCACGACACTCTGGAAAAACAACAGGGGAAGGGATTGGTGCAAGTAAACTAGTAACCATGTCAGACATCGAATTGGAGCAATCACACTTGTATGTTCTACACAATGCTGATGAGGTTGAGCCATATGTTGAAAAGCACAAAGAAATACTTCAAAGTTTGAACCCTAATAAGAGTGAAAATTGGTTAACAAGAGAACACAATCGAAGTTTTATACCGTGGCTAAAAGAACACATTTTTTCAAAATTTGCTAAAAATCCTGATTCAATTTCAGAAAGATTGAGATGGCTAGCAAATGGTCCAAATTCAAATGTTCTATCGTACTCTGGTTATATAATTAACAAGTATACATTTTATACAGAAGAACATGATCATCAAAGCACTGTGCAAAATAGCAGTGTCACAATCGTAGCTGAATCTGTGCATATCTCAAGTTCCAAAAATAGAAATCTCGCATTTTCCAAATTGTCATATTTTGGGGTCATTGAACGTATTTGGGAATTGGATTACTCATGCTTTCAAGTGCCCGTGTTTGGTTGCAAGTGGGTTGACAATAACAATGGCCTTCAAGTTGACCCTGGGTTCATGAAGGTCGATCTTAATAAAGTAGGGTATAAAGACGAGCCTTTTATTTTAGCATCACAAGCTCACCAAGTGTTCTATGTCACTGATCCTGCTGATGAAAAGTGGTCTATTGTGTTTCTAAGTAACAAAATAAATGATCACACCACTCCAAATATAGATGTTGAGGATGACCCTTTCTTTAATACTTCACAATCCCTTGAGTCTGAATCAATTATAGATGATATTCTTTATATGAGAAACGATCACAGTGATGGGATTTGGATCAATCCATCATTTTATGTAACTAGAAAACAGAAAAGTAGGAATCCAACTACAAGGAAGAGGAAAAGGCCGACTTAATCTTGTATGGTTTATTTATTTGTTTTTCATTTTTTTATTGTTATTGCTTCTTAATGTTATTCTTGTATGGTATATAACTTTTTAAATTTTTATAGGTGAAATATGGCTTCTATTGATGATGAAAGTGGTTCGTCTAGTAAGAAAACAGTTGGTAAATGTGGTGTGACCCGATTGCAAAAAAATCACAAAGCCAAAAGCAATGGAAAGAGAATTGAGGTAAAATAGCTAGAGTTTTATGATACTGTTTACTCTCTTGGCAATTTTCCTTTTACTGAACTATGTATGAGTGATGGTTACATACATGATTATCTTTTATGAGTTAGTTGTTTGAAACTATTTGAATGTTAAACACTATTAGTGAGACTGTTGATTCTTTATTTGCACTTTAATTTTGTTATAGGTTCAATGGAATTCCAGAGGTCAACCAATCAAGCATAATAGCAAGACTTTTGCTAGTTTCATTGGTGTCACAGTTCGTCGGTTAGTTCCAATAAGCTTGGACAATTGGAGCGCGAAAAAAAATAAAGAGGCTGTGGGGGTTTATAAACAAAACATTTGGGATGAAATTGAAGTAACACACTAACTTAAGCTAGTTGTAAAATTTTAATTTCGTTAATCTATCCATTGGGATGTTTAAATAAACTGAACTATGTTTTAATAAACTGAATTATTTGCAGAAAGCTTTTATAATTTGCGAGGAACATCGTGCCTTTGTATATAGAGAAGCTGGAAAGTTGCACAGGGCATTCAGAACAAAAATGGCGAGGTCATATCTAAAATATAGTAAGGGTGGTTTTGTTAAACATCGTCCGGCCAAATATTCTTTTTGTATAAAACAAGATGATTGGGATAAATTTGTAGCCCAACATATGACTGCAAAGTTTCAGGTAATACTTTTATCACTTGGATATGGATCCTTAAAGTTTTGCATGATTATAGTATTAGTGATAGTGTTGTGGGATGCATTTTTTATAATAAATGCAGAAAGTTAGTGATGAGAATCGAGAAAGAGCGTTAAATCCTCAACATCCCTATAGAAAGTCACGTTTAGGGTGTGCTCGTCTTGAAGCTGATATGGTAAGTATGTGTATAAATGTACTATACAATATTATAAAAAAATTTAATTGCTATGTTAATTTGTAAAAATGTATATACAGGTAGAAGAGTCAGAAGTTGGTGAGATAAACCGTAGTCAAGTGTGGAAGGCTGCCCGCGTCAATAAGAGCGGGGTGATTGATAATGAGAATGTTCAAAGAGTTGTGGATCAATGTGTAAGTCGAATTTTAGATGTGACACTATAGATGTTATTTCCAAAATGCTCACATTATAGATGTGACACTTTTTCTATACTCATCATTGTTACCGAATCTGTATTTTCCAGGTACCTCTATTATTACAAATATTCTCTTATTTGACAAATATATTATTAATATTAATGTTATTTGTATTGTTGGCTAATATTCACATTGGTGACAAATATATTAATATCAATTTTTGTTCATTTCTAGGTATTTGTATGACAAGTTTATTAGTCCAAATGGATTAATAAATAAGTTCTCTTTCATATCTCCACATGTATCACGGGAGGATAATCTAGGAAATGGTATAGCAAAAATACTTTTGAAAGATGAGGAGTTCAAGGATAAGATGATTCTTGCACCTTGTAATCTAGGGTGAGATTTATATTCAAAAAGTTATTAAATTAACGAGAAAAAACTCTAATGAATGTGAATCTTTAATGCAATATTTAAATGTTGGGTGCAGGAAACATTGGGTGTTGCTTGTCATCAATCTCAATGCTGAGGTGATATATTACATGGATCCGTTGAATGGTGAGCCAACAAAACATCAAAATTTTAAAACAAAGTTTGAGAAGTGAGTATAGACTCTTTTAATTTAAAATTTATGTACGTATTATTATTTATATAATTACTCATTTGAAGTTAATTTCATTTTGTTAGCGCTTTGCAAATTTATCGTGCTAATAGTAGTTCTAAAGTGCCTAAAGTGTCAAAGTCAAAGAAAATCTCATGGCAAAAAATAAAGGTATGTGTCTAAATTAATGTTATTTTAAAACAATTATGTGGAGTAAAATTAATCGATATAAATTTTTTTTTGTAGTGTCCTCGTCAAATTAATGGCGTTGATTGTGGATACTTTGTAATGCGATTTATGAAAGAGGTCATCATGGAAAATGAATTTATGATCCCCACAAATGTACGTGATTTTAATTATTATTATTATTATTTTGTAAATTAAATTAATATAATTTAATTCTAACACGATTAATTGTTGATGTTTTCATATTTGAAGTACTTTTTTGACCACAAATGTCGTACCTACTCTCATGATAAGTTAACTGAGGTTAAGGAGGATTGGGCTACTTATGTGGTGGATGATGTTTTCGGTGAGTTTTTCCTTGACTTGATACTTGATAAACAAGACAAATATTACTCATGGATTTAGAGTTCAAATGTTTTGACTTAGATGTTTAATTTTAATTTTTGAGTTGGATTTAGAGTTGTCGTATAAATGATTTTAGTATTTTATTGGTTTAGAAGATATGGCACAGAGGTACTGAGTGTTCTTTCTTGGTCTCGAATTTAAATTTTGAAATAGGAAAATACGGAAAAATGACTTATATCTTATTGTATGATTGATTTATAGTTTTCCGTTTCTACTTGAAATTTTTAGATATTCGTAGTAACAATTGTAAGGTGTTTGATATCTAGTTCTGGATCATGAAAAGAAAGTTACACACAATTAAGTGTTTATGTATATTTTGAGAATTTGAATTATATTCTGTTTAGTGTTTATATGCATCTAATAATGGAAATTGTGGTCTATATATTTACAAGTCATGTTCTTGTTAGACTTAATTAGTTCAATTATTGCATTAGTTATATCGATTTATTGTTATTAGTTTATAATAATCATTCCTTATTTTATGCGCTTCTTGTTAGACCCATATTAAATGTTTGATTATTCTTTATATGTTGAATTAGTTTTTATTGTATAATACATAATCAATATTCCTTCTATGATACAGGAAAACAAGAAGCAATTATTTTGCCTAATTAGTGATTGTATCTATGAGTTCAACGCTTTTGGATCATGAAG